TTTCCTGGGACACCGGTTAGCGAGAAAACTTTTCGACAAGTTACAAGCTAGATCTCGCCTTGGCCCTTGGTATGAAAATAATACGAATAGTTACATATGCGTTCATATGAGACAAAATGTTTTTCCGTGTACCGAGATCTCGGTGATCGGGATAATGTTTTTCCCATATCACATATGAACACAACTTTCCCGCTTAGCGGGATAACTTTCTGTCGTGTCAGCGACTTTTCAATTCAATTGATGTTCAGTGCTACATTACAGCCCGAAACTTTACCCGCTAAGAGTGACAACGTTTCTCCATATGAACAGAACAAAAATATTTCGCTAATCGAAAAGTTTTCTCGTTACCGGAATAACTTTTGTCCATATGAACAGGCTCTTAGGCAGCGTTTACACTGTACCGTTTTCGTAGCGTTCTCGTATTGTTCTTAATCCTCAAGGGAACGCAAGACAATAGTCTAGTTCTCTCGAACAATACGAGAACGCTACGAAAACGGTACAGTGTAAACGCTGCCTTAGATTCAAGTATTTTACGCATACCTTACTGAAATGGCTATTTCGTTTTAATTAAGCTATTTAACCTGAGTGCATGAAGAGTTTATGAACACACGCGTAGAAAAGAATAAACGCAATTTAGAATTGCTTTGTTTTATTTATGGACTCACAGAGCTAAACGTATTCCCACATGCAAACAAGAGCCCTAAATCCCGACTGGATGCTTCAAAAGACCACAGCAGCATGATTAGTTAGACAATGAAAAACACACTATGTCTTTATACCGACCTTTGTATAGAACACAGACGTTATGACTTCAAGAATTACATAATCATCCTTGATAATCATCAGTCTCACTCTGACTTCCCTTTTTATGCATTGGAAAGGCGAACGAAATATGTGTTCTACGCTATTTTAAGGTATGGTTTATTTTACATTTAGTCATGTTACATGGACTGGGACATTTGATTTGTAACCAAGTAAATAGTTAACTGAATGCCGCTATCGTTATAGCGTCTTAAACTAATCTGACATTGAACAGACCAAACAGGAATTCATCAATTTTGTGTTTGGAAGTTAAAGTAACTTATATAGGCTACAATAAATATATGTGCCTCAAATACAAAAGAATTTAGTTTAACAGCTGAGCGTTGTTGTAATAGACAGCACTTTCGGGTCGCACGGTTTCCGCCTCGTAAATAAATCCAGTTTTATTTATTCAAGCTTGCACTGTACTTAAGTCGTGACTATCCCCAACACAAAACTGAAAGAGATTTTTAAAGTGAGCGCGCAAGATGTCTACTCGTTGCTCAGGCGTACACTCGTGCTTCGAGATCATGCAATCATCATTCATGATGTAAAGTCTATTACAGTCGATTCCTCCTGATGAGAGGAAAGCAAAGTTATTTTCATGCGAGAAATTTAGATCATTTTATTTGAAATTATTAAACTGCAAAGTTTATGCGGGATAAAAGGCGGTTTAGTTTTCATAATATTGTAAGACGTTTTGCGAAGCGTTTGCGACTTAATAGTGCCTAAGGTTTACATTACGTATCTGTTTTGGGGGATATTGAAAATTTTGTCATTGAAAGCGATATTTTTAGGGTTTTTTTTTAATTTCAAAAATATTCTTAATAAAGTATTGTGTCAACATGACAACTACTTCAAATACTATGCATGTTACTATGATATATTGATTTTGCGAGCAAGGTGATCGAGGGGTTACTGCTTGCATGTATTTCTACTTTCTAGTATCAGTCTAAACAAACTGTGGTTGAAAGTCTTAATTTTCGAATTTTCGAGAATATTCCAAAGTAAACGTGTGACTTGGCATGTGTTTACCCTTTCATGCAGCTGCGTTATAATTGACATTCGCTTCAGGTTATAAAAGTCTTGTTTCACGATCTACGAGTTAGCAATTTTCCTGACAAAACGACACTTTTGAGACCTAGTTTTGCTTTATACCGTATAGTGTAATAAATAATGCAATGCCTTTCAGATATTAGAGATCAGAACTGCTAACGTATTTTCCGACACAGCGAAAAATAATTAAGTTGCCGTCAGCTCTTATCAGCATGGTTTGTCATAGCGCAGTAAGAATTCACGCCTTGGTCGTATAGATATTCTGCGATTCTTCGTGGCTTCACATTATGAGCTAAATGCTCAATAATGTGAACATGGATGCAGGGGCGAAACTATCCCCTTTTAATTAGGGGGTGTTTGCTAGAATTGCCCTGCGAAAGCCGATGATGCCCTGCAGCAAAAAAAATTTTGGCCACTATTTCTCCCAAAAATGTTGGCGAGCGGGGGGCGAGGTCGAAAATTTTTTTTCCGGACATTCAAAAAAGGGGCGAAAAAATTTTTCCGGACATAAACCAATTAAATTATGGGTCAAAAAATTTTGGGGGGACAAATTCCTGTTAAAACATGCATGAAACAATTTACCAATATCTGTAAAAATTTTTTTTACCAATATCTGTAACATTTAGGTCTATAAATTCTATTAAATTCCCTTTGGAAGTCCAGGAATCTACTTAATAACTCTACATTCTATCATTTAAAATCTTTCATTGCCCTGCCAATCCAGATGATTGATTTGCCCTGCCAATCCAGATGATTTGTACTTTGGGGGAGGAGGGTGTCGCCCCCCCCCCTCAAGTTTCGCCCCTGCATGGATGTATTAGCAGGTCTATAGACTATACCATAGAAAGAAGCCGACCAATTCCACATTTTGTACACCACACATGATCCTGTTTCAGAATTCAAAAATACAACTGCGAATCTGTAGGTCTGATTTAGGGCCAGTTAAGCGCTGTTTCATCCCGCTTTACCTGGAAAAGATGTGAGGCGGGATGATTTTGAGGAGTCACGGTGCATGCACGGGTTCAGCAACGCTACAGTATTTTCTAGTGATAGATTATTGTATACAATTGTAAACAAAAGGCATTTCAAGCAACAATAATAATTCTCTTGAACTATATACGAACTTTCGTTTGAATTTTTGTTTAAAGCCTAGCGCTGGTGATTTTTTTAAATACATCAAAATTATCCCGCTTTCATCTCGTCGCGGCAGCTTTTAAGTGATCAACGTTTATATCGTAAACAATGTTATAATAGTTGTCCCAGTATTAGCATATGTAATTACACAAATTAGTCTGTGCCAACAATTGAGAAATATTTCCATCTGACAATGATATCTTATCCTAGGCGACCGTTCCACTGTTAAATACACAAAATAAGAAGTAGACGGGTCAAAGCAAAATTTTCTTTTCTTAAAAGGTAAGTTTTGCTATATACCGCTGTAGACGCATGGTTGCAAATATTTAACAGTTATTCTACGAACTCGAGTCGAATATGAGCTGATAGCCGATGAGGCGCGTAGCGCCGAATCGGCCATCACTCATATTCGACGAGAGTGAGTGGAATAACTATTTTATTATATACATAAGGTCTGAATTCACAGACTTTGCTTTTCGAATATTTTCAATATTTTTCTATTTTGTTTATGTTTTTATATTCGCTCTTTCGGCCGATTATTTTTTCCAAAATATATATTTTTAACCATTTTAAATTTTAAGGCCCAGTCACACTATTGCGTATCGTACTAGCGTATGCCAGCGAATGAAAAATTTCACTCATACGCCAGTATACGTTGGCATACGCTAGGGGTACGTTAGGCATAGGTTGTATATGTTTCAACTACGGTCGCGTATAGTGGCATACGCTCAATACGGCGAGGCAGAACATTTTTTTTAAGCATGCTCAAAAATTTTATGCGTTTCGGACGTATGCTTTATACGATAAGAATACTCTAGGCACACGCTGAGTACGCTAGAGGTACGCCAGATGTACGGTACTCATACGCTGGCATTTCAAAGGATTTTTGTGCGTATGAAAATTATTTCATTAATTTTCATACGCTTCTCATACGTTTCTCTCATACGCAATAGTGTGACAGGGCCTTTAAACATTTATTTGCTAACCTGAAATCAATTTGTGGCAGTTTTTTTATTGTGTTTTTAATCCTGTAAAGGCGACAACTTGCCGTTTTCTCGTTTGCAAAACATCGTAAATTCAGTTTGGCCGCCATTTGTTTTCCTCTACTAGCAGGATATGAGCTAATATCCTGCTAGTAGAGAACCAATCAGATTGCAGAATACCTCATATCCAGACCTTGTGTATATAATAAAGACAGTTATCAGAATAAGAAAATAATGTTAATTCGTGATTTTATCAAATGCAATAACAGTCTTGTATTTTGAATACATGAGTTTGAATATTCTTTTAGGTAATGCATCTTAGGGGTCTGATTATACATGATCGCCCGTTTTGTCTGGAAGCTAGCTCTGCATAAAATATTTATATGTTCATGTAGACTGTTAATTTTTATCATATTCCGCTTTGGTGGGACGAAATTATGTAAACATGGCGTCTTCTGCATATTTTTGTTGTAATAAATTCACCAAAATGTTTATTTTTTGTTTGTATTATCCAACTATGTCATTCTACAATATTAAGTTCAAAATAGTCAAAAATTCTCCCTCCCAGCGTGATCCCGCCTAGCGCAACACTTGTTTTTCATATGAATATAAATTGAATTTGATATGCATTGTCGAACAGCATGCCGACATCTGACTCAGATGAGTTTCCTGGTGTGTTGTGCTCATATAAACAGGCCTTTAATTAATAAGCATTGTTTCGGATTGATTGAGATGTGAATAGCTGAAAAATACAAGGAGAACTTCTCGTTAATGTCTTGCTCGAAACGTCTAAGTCTTCTTTGTTTTTCCCTTGCATCCCTGTCAATTTCTAATTATTATTAGCATTACTTATACTGGTTTGCAACGCTCAGTATTTTATATCCATAAGTGATAAGCATTTTTTTTTTCATCTCTAGAGCCGAGCGAGAGGCCTTACTGAGAGGTTTATAAAATAAAAATTTAGACCATCTCTATTATGGAAGTGGTCGAGAGGTGTAGCCTCATTTCCATGCTCCAATAAGTGCTATAATATTTCTTAACCTTATTGAAATGGCCCTGCATGCATGTTCCGTACCGATACAGGGTGTCCCAAAAAAACTATTGAAATCACGTATTATTAAAATGCAAAACTCACAAGTACATAGAAGCATAGAAGCTTGAAACTGTTTTCAAACTGCTTTAAATTCCCAAATGCAGAAAATCGTACCCTTTGCAAAGATATTTTAATTTCTTAATGAGTCAATATTTATAATATAGCTATGCACCCTGTCAATATTTTACGCATCTTTGCGTTCAGCTTAGTGCTATAGCGCATTCAAATTCTACTGATACGTTACTTCAATAGTTTTTTGGAGGGACACCCTGCCTGACCAAAGGAAACAAGAAAAATGTTTACTAATAAGGGCTGGGCTTAATTTGACAACAGTTGGATTACTAACAAATTAGCAGCTTCATATATAAAATTGAAAAATATATTTCTAAATTTGGCAATATTAAACATGGTCAAGCTGTAACAAAGCTCAAAATTTGAGATCATCTGTTACCTGTTGAAACAGGTTGATATGGCGATATTTCATACGATAAAAGGATTTGTCCGACGTTGTGATTTAGACGATGTCTGAAACGAACGGCACTATCATGAAATACGTGCAATAATACAAGGTTTTACTGATGTCACAGCAGATTTTATCTAGCGTAAGCTTGAATCAAATAAATCACTCGTTTCATTCTTTCAATAATCATAACTTGTTTATGTATTTCTAGAACCACTGAGTATTTTAATAAAATACAAAACAAGTGAAACATTAACAGCAACGTATTTGTGTCATGCAAAGATAAAACCCCGAAAATTTATCAAAGCTCTGTAGTCTATGAATTAACTTGCCCTGGGTGTAATAGTAGGTACATCGGCAAAACTGATCGCTGCTTGTACACCAGAACTAAGGAACATTCATATCACACAGAATCTGTAATCCATCAACACCTCTCTACTTGCGAACAGTTTCAACATATTAAAGCCATTTTAGAACTATATCCCGACGATGACGCAAAGTCTGATCAAACCAGTATAACGCATGGCTGAACATGTTTTCCATAACACTAAAGTAATTGATAAATCTAACTGAAAGATATAAACCTGAACTTAATCATGGACTTAAAGCTTCTAAAGAACTAATCATATTTAATTAATTTGCAAGATCGATGGGCCTAAACCAATTAATTAAAGAAGCTACTAGAGTCACTGACTCGTCACAAACAATGATTGACTTAATCTTTGTAAACAATGAGCACCGTTTTGTTGCAGATGGAGTCATACCCTTAACGATTAGCGACCATTCATTGATCTATTGTAGTCTGAAAGTGGGCGCGCCAAAAGGGACCCCTAGAACAATAGAATATCGTTCATACAAATCCTACTATCGTGTCTCCTTTGTACAAGATTTAAAAAACATTCCATGGCACTTAGTCGCTGACGAAGATGACATTAATGATGCAGTCTCCACTTGGAATGCTCTGTTTGTGGATGTAGCAAACAACCATGCGCCAATTAAGAAACAACGCATAAATGGAATAAATTCACCCTGGATGACTTCCGAAATCAGCGATTTAATGCGTGAACGCGACTATTATCATCGAAAGGCAAGAAAATCAGGCTCTCCTGATCACTGGCAATCATATAAAAACTCTCGGAACCTTGTGAATAAAGAAATTAAAGCTAGCAAGTCAAAATATTACATCAATTTGATCGAGGAAAGTAAAGGTGACTCCAAGAAGCTATGGAATGCTGTTAACGAAGCATCTTCTAGGAAATGTCGATCGTCCAACCCAACTTGCATTATCTCGGATGGAGTTGAATATACAAACAATAAATCGATTGCTTCTATTTTGAACAAACATTTCGCTACTATAGGTCAATATCTTGCCGAGAAGCTACCCGCTATAACACCAAGTTATGCAGCAAGTTACTATCTATCTAATGGTCAACATTTTAATATCCTTCCCGTTGATGAATCTTTCGTTATTAAACATCTAAAATCTCTCAAAGCTTCGAAAGCAACTGGTTTGGACAAGATAAATATAAAGCTACTTAAAGATGCATCAGAAATAATTGCTCCTTCGATTACAAAGCTCATAAATCGATCTATTCAAAATCATACATTCCCTTCAAGTTGGAAATGTTCGAAGGTATTTCCTTTGTACAAATCTGGGGACAGAGCGAACGCAACTAATTACCGTCCAATATCAGTTCTACCTGCATTGAGCAAGTTAATGGAAAAAGCTGTTTATACTCAACTTTATGATTATTTAACAGAACATAACATTCTCAATGATAATCAGTTTGGTTTTCGCCGAAAGTGTTCCACAACAACAGCACTCTCGAGTTTTGCTGACGAGATTCTGGCCAGTATGGAAAAGGGAGAAGTGTGCGGTGCCGTGTTTTTGGACCTGTCCAAGGCCTTCGACACGGTCGATCACGCTGTTATGCTGAAGAAATTATCTGCCATTGGTGTTTCTACTGAAGATATAGCATGGTTTGCTTCCTATCTAAGTTTTCGATCGCTTCGAACTACTTGCGGTCCTGAGCTGTCTGAACCATTACGCTGTAACTTTGGTGTCCCACAGGGCAGTATTCTTGGCCCTTTACTCTTTTTGATTTATATCAACGAGATACCAAGTTTCATTAAACATGCACAATTATCTCTTTACGCAGACGATACTGTCCTGTATTACTTTTCTAACACCTCGCAGGATCTGGAGGAGAAACTAAATGCCGACCTGCGTAATGTTTGTGTTTGGCTTAATGAGAATAAACTAACTTTGAATACAAAAAAGACCAAATTCATGATCATTGGGAGTAGCCGTAAACTTTCTAATATTGATTCCGTCACAGTCAAGGTAGCTGGCAGTAATATAGAAAGAGTCGAAGAATTCTCGTATCTTGGAATAAATTTTTCAACTAATATGACCTGGACTGAACATGTTAACCAACTCTGTTCAAAGATCAGCAAACGCCTGGGGCTCCTGAAGAGAATTAAGCATCTGCTACCGCGATACGCAAGACTACTTTTTTACAAGAGTCTTATTTTACCTCTGTTTGACTACGGCGACCTGGTATGGGGTGATAAGAACAATGACGTACTGATGGGCAATTTACAAATTCTCCAAAACAAAGCAGCAAAAATCATCCTTGACTATCACCCACTTTCTTCGTCTAGTGCTGCGCTGGATGAGTTGGGATGGAACAGGCTTCACCAACGTCGATTTTATCATAGATGTTTATTCATTTTTAAATGTTTGAATGGGCTATCTATGTCTAAGCTAATCTTGAAATCGCTAAGCGAACTTCATTCCTATAACACTAGAAATAAGAACAATTTATGCTTGCCTAAAGTTAAACGAAATTGGGGCAAGCAAAGGCTCGAGTACCATGCAGTAAACGATTGGAACACTCTTGACGAAGAGACTAGACATTCAGACTCAATTGCTAAGTTCAAAATGAACTATTTTAAAACTCACTAGTGCTGAATTATAACACTCATAGCATGCTGACGTATATATACTCTTTGAATTCTATTTAGTTACTATTTTTATTGTTGTAGATAGCTCACAGCTCTTAGTCTTACTTGTAATTTAAACACTAGGCATACTTTTATTGATTTTTAACGTTAACCTTATTGTAATGTGATGGATTTGGTTTTTATGACTCATATTTATATATGTATATTTTTAAATATAGGACCTCTCTGAAAATCACTTTACGTGAGAGAGTTTCCTATTTAAATATTGTCATAAATAAATAATTCATTAATAATCAACCTAATAATTGTATCATATTTCTTCATATAAATACTGCTTTTGATATATAACCTAGCTAGTCCCCGAGCCGACGGCGCGAAGCGCCGTGCGAGGGTACTAATTCCCCCGGCTATTTACACCCGGGGAAACGAAAGCATTAGCGAAGTCTAAAGTTCATCAATGAGCGCGGGCGCGGCTCACCAACGATGTTCCGGTGGGTGGTCATCCTCACTGATCTCAAAAATATGGCGGACTGTCATGAATAGCGGACACTGATTGGTCCAATTTAAAGTTTGCATTATAACGACTGCATGACGACACAGAATAAAGAAGATACAGCAGAAGCGTAACTCTAGTCGTTTCCCTTATTGTTTTACGTCGACGAAAATTTTAACTCGCTCACGCCAATCCACGCCATCCTGGCTAGTACAGCAGGAAGTTTTTGTCAGGTTTTGGTAGGTACAAAGTGCCGGTTGTACTAGTCAGGATGGCGTGATTGATGACGAATCGCTTGTAAAAACGCGGACAAGTACTTGCTTGAGTTAAGCCCGTTCTCCACTAGGCGAATTTATTCGCGCGAACAGATAAAAAGTAGGAAGCGATCCTACTTTTTCGCCGCGAATTTTTTCGCCGACCAATCACGTTGCCGGATTTCGGTTTTCGCTTCGCGTCGCACGAACAAATTCGCGTAGTGGAGAACGGGCTTTACGCTTCTGCTCTACCTTCTTTATTCTGTGATGTCGACAGCGAAATAGCAAACATTTCTTGATTTGATGATTGATAAATTTCTTGCAAATATGTTTCATTTTTGCTCGCATTTTTGCAAGATTTTGTAAATTTCAAAAGCTTCTTTCAGCTTTCAAAAGGAGCCGACGTTAACGAAGGTAAGTTTGTTTTAAGTATTGATTTTATAATTGCTTTAAAACCCGACGGCCTTTGGCTTTGCGTATATGAAACAACTAAATAAGACAGCATATAACTTCAGTGTATGTTTAATTTTTGATTCCCTTTTTTATATAATTATATTGAATTTTATAAATAAAAAAACAAAGTTATTTGCCTGCTAGAATTTGAAATCATTTTATTGCAAACTCAAAGTTTACACTTTAAAACGTGGTTGAATTTTACCTTAAATTGAAGCTTATATTACGTATAATAACATACCTAACATATAAATGTAGGGAAATTGATAATTTTGTAATTAAAAGTGATATTTTTAGGCAATTTTTCATTTGTAAGAATATTCTTAAAAAATTATCGTGTTACCATGACAACTACTTTAGATACTTCATGTTTGGAAAATGCAATGGTTTTGTCAGCAAGGCGAGGTTTTCTGCATGCATGTATTTTCTAGTTTATCCTGATGATGACTGAAATATAGTCGAAACGTAGATAAACAAAAATTTTATCGATTTTTGGAGTTTCGCTTGTTTTGTATTTTGTTTATGCATGTTATTGCAGTGAAAGACAAATTCGTAGGGAGATTGGTAGCCAAGTATTGTTCCGACTTCCAAACAAATTTTGATCAATCGTAACTGTAGTAAAATCCTATAATTATTCATCTAGTCTTCTTGTAAATTTAATACGTTTTGTATTGTATGTACATGCCAGTGCTGGTACATCTAATATACAATATCCTGCTTGCATATGCATAAAATATCTTCATTCGCATAAATAAAACAATAAGGGCCTTAATTGTCACCCAATAACCCAAGCGGAAGGAATATCATGACATCGTCGAATGATTATTATATTGCATTATAATTACCGGGACACGTTCGTGCCATATAAGGAAGTTAGGGACACGTTTGCACCATATATGGAAGTGTCGTTTACTCTCGCTTCAAACGATTGCATTTTTTCGTGATGATCCTGCCATCATAATTTCAGTGGAAACCATGAGCATAAATAATAATTCGGCGCGAGAATTCGAAAGCTTGGATTCTATAGATACGGGAACCACTCAGTATTTTAAGAAAATACAAAAAATAACTGTAACTCCGAATGACATTTTGATTTTTAATCGACGTTTCGACTAGTTTGTAGTCATCCTCAGGATTAATAATAATGTAAAATTACAGATGCAGCTATTATAAAGCCAAGAAAGGCGGAGCTTAATGTTAATGAAATATGAGAAGTTCTTTGGAAGCTTTCGCACCGTGGTTGAGATCAGGTTTTCGTCTGCGTATAGCAAGAGACTCCTTAAATAACAACAGAGACCAGTGGTCTGTCCTATCAATTACTTACTGTTTCTAAATATTAGTTCAGATAAATTAGTGTTTGTAGGGTTATAGTTGAGTCAGGTGAAATTCCATAAGGGATTTTATGTGCTGAAATTGTTCGCGACAGTTGATGTGGGCATTGTTTCCGAGTTTTCTCGCATGCTATGCTCTCTGAGACGGGTGTATAGACAGCGGTCTGTTTTACCAACTAGGTGCTTCGACAACCCGGACATGAAAATTCATATACAACGGAGCTTTTGTATTCATCCGGCGTCTTGTCTTTGCAGGACGGAAACAATTGGAGTTCGTGGTTTTCCAGTTTAAAATAAATTTACAAGGACTCTTTAGTAAACGGCGAGTTGTTTATGAACTTTTTGGTCAAATCTTGCCATATTGGCCAATGAATGGGAGTCTTATCCATATTTTGGGTAGATTATCAGATGCTGCGCGTTCTGTAACGGTCAACATGTGGGATGTTATCGCTTCTTTCCGGGTTTGGTGTAAAGGCATTAATTAATTTATTCGTCAAGTTGCGAGAGAAACCGTTCCAGGACATGAAATCTTGTATAGTCTTCAGTTCTAACTTCAATAGTAGATCATTGTTACATATCTTGTATGCGCGACCAAGGCGTGAAACTAGAAAGGTACGTGCATGAACCGGTGTGTAGACTTGCGAAAAATAGTTATGTCCGAGGAGTTAATCTTTACGTCAAGAAAACGTACATTGTTCTCAGGGAAAAGTGCGAATGTCAACTGGATTTGAGGGTGAAATGAGTTGAAGGCTCGTATAACGATTGGAATATCAGACGGTTTTTCGAGGAGTAGCGTATCATCAACATAGCGGGCGTAAAATTTCATAACGTTCGAGTCAATTAATTAGCGTACAATTACATCCTCGAAAGTTATCATGATGATGTTGACAAGGGTAGGACTAGTGGAGAACCCATTGCTACGCCACCGATCTGTTTGAAAGTTCGCCGTTCATGGAAAAAGGGGTCAAGGTTCTTGGCTCTTCTCCAATTGTTTCCTGTGCGGCAAAGACAAGACACCGGATGAGTACAAAAGCTTCGTTGTATATTAAGCACCTACATTGGTAAAACAGACCGCTGTCTATACACCCGTCCCAAAGAGCATATAGCACGCGAGAAAACTCGGAAATCAATGCCCACGTCAACTGTTGCGAACATTTTCAGCACATCAAATCCCTTATGGAACTTTCACCTGACTCAACTAACACTATAAACAGCAATGTAACTGAACTAATATTTAGAAACTGTAAAATAATTGATAGATCAGACCACTGGTCTGTGGCTTTATAATAGTTGAATCTGTAATTTTACAATATTATTAATCCTGAGGATGACAACAAACTAGTCTAAACGTCGATTAAAAATTAAAATGTCATTCGGAGTTACTGTTATTTTGGATTCTATTGTAAATAAATACCTGTATGGCAGATTCAAAAATATATTAACATTGCCATGAACATGAATATTTTATGTTTATATAAAAGTAGGATATAGAAGCTTCAGGTTCGATACTGTATATGCTCTTTTTACATTTCGCATATGCTCTTTTTGAAGAGCATTTTCGATATAACAATGCAGTTGGGGGGGTGCGAGAAGTTTTCCCCAACGAAACGACTTAATTTTTCTGGTCTTACGAAGAGGTATAATTTTTCTGAAGCCTGAAATGAAAATTGTTAATTTCCAGACGCAAGTAAGCTGTGCGAAATGTATTTTTCACAGATTAAGCCAAATTTTTGCTTTCATTTAGGGTCCCCACAGCAGGACTATATTTGATAGCGGATAGGGCCTAACAAACTTTAAAAATAGAATCAAAATACAAAAATTGATTTTTGGTACTATTTCAAGGGTCATCCATAAAGGGTGCGCACTCTTTGGGATCCTTGATTAATGCAATTTTAGCGCAATTTTGCCGAGGTACGCATCTAGGAAACACAAAACAACTCAAAACTAGTTGTCTGGCTACGAAAATAAATCCTGCATGCAGCTAAACCCCAACTTGTGTACAAATCATGAATCAGATACTACCCCAGCCCGCCTTCAATTTGGCTCAATTCAATAACTATATATGGTTGCTCCCTGGACCATTTTGAAGTTAACAGCAACCAGTTCAAGTTATTTATTAACTTTAAAATCATACAAAATTATAACATTGATTGAAGGTGTGGTCAACAGGACATGAGTCCCATGTGAAGACCAACCTGATACAAAACAATAAGTTGTCATACATTAAAGACAAAGACTAGAACACTATTTGCATTGACTATAAAAAAATAATAGTTTAGATTATAAGCAACAGCTTAAGTTGAAAGAACGGCATGTAATAGTAACTAACTCCATGTCCAGACAACATTAACAATTACTTTGTGGGGATTGTTTTAGCAACGAACCCCAAGCATGCAAATTCAATGTTCCGAGTAACAAATGCATTCTCAACCAGTTCTTCAACCACCAGCACCGCAAACAGTTTAATTTGTCGTGTGAACTTTACCCCATACAAGAAAATAACGTAAACCCAATAGAATAGACCTTGCTCCTACCAAAACGCGTCAAACGGAACCAAACGCGTTAGGAAGTAAAAAACCTAAGGACAATCCCCCCATGACATATCTGTTGAAACAACCCTTGTAAAACAAAACTGTGGCATCTTAGATGTTATATATGCGACTTAGAGCGACCGTAGGCGATTGTTTGTCCGGGAATGGGCCTTGATAAGGCCGGGGCGTATTAAAATTATTGTTATTTCTATTTAGATCTGCTGTAATATTAGAATTCTGATTTTAAAAATCAAGATCTGAAACACACTGGAGGGAACTGCGCCAGAATGGGACTTGAATTATTGCTTCTGAAAACACTCCTTTTATCTCTACCGGTCCTTTCCTATGCTGATGGAAACTCGACTCGAAAACTACTAATGCCGAAGGAGGAATGTGAGAAAATCTCAAGCGTGGAGGTCCGCTATAATGAGTTCTACGAGCTCTATCTTGGCCATGGTAATGGAAAAGATGACATTCATGAACATGGAATTATATACCAGAGCTTGATTAGAGCGGTAAATGCTTGCTGTCCTGGAATGGCCCTTAATTTTACCCTTGTGAATAGATCTGTTGAATCCTTAGTTCAAGAAGACATATTGCATCATCATGACGTACAAAACAGTTCTCATTTGATTTTCTATTTTCCGGAGTTCACATCACAGGGGAATTTAGGTACGAGAAAAATATGATCCGTCGAAAACAACACTATTAGCGTTGATACATTTTAACTGATTTCTGCTACTCTACCTCCCCATGTGGATACGAAGGTTGCATTACTCATAAACTCCTCGTACACATCCTCAAGAAATCTCCAAACATTCTGAAATTATACCAAAATTTTTAAGATCCCTAAAATCCGAAAAATTTTCCACAAAATCACGAAAAATCTCAACATATATCTTCCAAATCCATCCAAAAAGGCGCTTTAAATTCCGCTGAAAATGTCGGAAAAAGTTTAAAATCCGAGGAATATTGCAGGGATTTTGAATCCCAAAATTTGAAATATGCAACGCTTTTGTCTGAACATAATGCATCGCTCGGAGGTCATAAAACATCGCTCGCTCAGTTAATGAGGACGCGAGAAGTTGGGAGAGCACAAAAAATCGTAAGTAGTGGTAGAGATTCTTTCTTAAAGCAAGGACGAAATCGTTTTCATTGATCGTTGTCTTTGTCTCTTGTAAATATTAAGGGAAGAATCCCTCATGAGAATAGACATTATACGCAGGGCCGCCGAGAGGTTGGCGGGGACCCGGGGCAAATGTTTTTGGGAAAAATTTTTCCGGAGAACAACCTGCCCCCCCCCCACCCACGCCCCGTCGCCAAAAAAATTTTGGTCAGTGTACCATTTTAGGGGTAAAAACAATTTTTCCCGTGTAAAAAATTTTTTCGGACGAGTAGGTTGCAATTGCTTTCCAGGGACTTTATCTCACTTTTTTATGCCAAATTTCGGTACTTACCCACAAGAAAACAGATATCTTGTCCTTTGCGCGGAAATATTTAACACACAAAAAAGACTGGGGCCCAACAAAATTTTTCCAGGGGCCCCCAGCACCTCGGGGCACGGGGCAATTCCCCCCCCCCTGCCCCCCCCTCTCTGCGGCCCTGATTATACGTAATATAGCTCTACAACCTTCCAGCACCTTAATTGTCTCAAGTCAGTTTTTGCGCGATTTTGACAAGTACATTTTTACTGAATTCCATTGTTAGTTGACTAACTCCAATTGTTTCAATAGTTTGAGTAAAATTTTTCGATAAATTTAGTATACTTACTTATATTTTGCTAATCTTTTGTACAAGCTTTCTTTTCATGTATTATTTGCATATTAATTTAATTTAATTAAATGTCCATGTCTAAGGAAAATAAAGCTGGTCGACGTATTTCAGACATCAAAATTTACTAATCTACAAAATAGCTATACATATACACACGAAACACCATAACAACAATATATAACAAATAACAACTTACATCATTTCGTCGCTATGTACTGTTTGAAACACGGGCAGGAGTGTTTTATCAGATCTAAAAGACGAAAGCGCAGCTCGAGTGTTTTATATCTGATAAAGCACGGACTGCGAGGGTTTTAAATAGCTTAAAAAACGACCCATCTAAAGAGTTCAATGGCGACCGAAGTAATTTTAAAAATAAACGTCGTCTAAGCGAAGAAAATCAAAGCTAAAGTTTATGCAAATGAACATGATTTCTTATAATATATAAAAACACGGACGCGATAGTGAATTCCTTTGTCTTTTCCTCATGAATTATTAATGAGTTTTTAATGATATTTGACGGCTTTTCAACAATGTTTCAACACAACTTCGAAAATATTCTTACCAAGACCGCACGAAGAAACGTTTAAAACGAGCTTGTGAAGCTATCTTGGGAAACGTTTTACCAGTTAAGTTAATTGTGAATTTTATATTTTTCTATAACTATTAGTACGGACAGAGATTTTGCTTCAGGAAAGATAGCCTCATGCGACATTGTATTTTTAATATCTTTATTTAGAGGTCTACTCACATAAGATTCCGTTTCTGAAGTTGCGAAAATCGCCTGGGTTTGCTTTGGTAATGTTGAAGAGCGAGTCACATCTAGACATCTCTGCGTTAGATATTATTAAGCCATCATGGCCAATTTTCGCGCTGGTACTGTCGCTTTCTTGGGCTGTTGGGATACTTGGTTGGGCATTTGTGAGTACCAGAATCTGTGTATAGACAGTGTTTCAAAAATTATATGTAACTGTGGCATCTTTCGTAATGTTCTTTCAAATGAGATAATCTAAATTTCTAATACCTTAACCATTTAAAATAATTTCTTCTATTCAGGACCATCGTTCCAATCCTGAAGAATTTCCAACCCCATTTGTCCGAGGAATGTTTGAAGGATTTTGGTGGGCTGTAGTTACTATGACGACTGTCGGGTAAGCTTATGCAGATGTATTGCGTTTCCCGCTCACTAAATGCTCGATCTATTCCATAATTCAAGTATTAAAACAGTAGAAAGCACAATTTATTTCGTAAAACAATGTTTACATTTACAACAACGTGGTTGATTAATCGCCATCTTGAAAATCTGTTTCTCTGTCCTTTTTCGTTACTATGGTAACTGTCACAACTGCATGATGCAATAGTTCCTATTTAACTAATGTTACAATACTGCTCAGAAGTAACCTAAATGCTGAGAACGCGTTCGGAACGCGTTCCGAAACGCGTTCGGAACACCTTCGAGATCGCGTTCGGAACACCTTCGAGAACGCGTTCGGAACACCTCCGAGAACGCGTTCGGAACACCTTCCTGAACGCGTTCGGAACACCTTCGAGAACGCGTTCGGAACGCGTTCTGAAACTCATGTTATTTCTCTTTGAAACTTCGAGTCTCTTCGGAAAATTCCGAATACTATAAATGACAACACAGTTAACCCAAATTCGTCTAGCTCGCATTATCCGACCAATTCAAACGCCCAAGAAAAAGAAATATATTTGGTCTTGAAATATATTTGGTCTATAATACATGCGTTGGCATATAAAACGCTCCTGTCATTTTCGATATTAAATTACACTTGAACTATATTTATAAAGGGTGTCGCAAATCTCTCCAGTATTAATATAGTTTAATAACAAATATGATAAGACCAAACTTACCTTACAAATGTTGACTCGAAGGATAACCCAGCGATATCATCCTTATTAATTAAACAAATGCTGATCCAGTGTGAAAAATACGGTTTATTGTTTTGGTCATATTATCGCGCCAGGAATTCTAGTATATTCGTATTATAACTAAATCTCGCGTCAATTTCACCCAATAACAACAATAATATAGTTATAGTCAAAACTACTAAATATATTATCATGAATGATGGTATAATCAATTATTACCACAAACCAATCAAAAAACAGATTTAATTTTTTGTCTGAGAGACCAATCAAGTGAAAAGCTAGACATTTGCATTTTTCAATGCGGTCAGATTCATCCACCCGTATTCAAGGAAGGGAAACCAGAGCCTGATACTCAGGCTAATGCACAACTTACTTAAGAGATTACAGAGTCTAAGTATCTGCGAAATATGATAAAAATTTCAACGTTATGAGCCTTTCCCAGAAAAGTCCAACAGGAATTTCCTGTTATGTCTTTCAAGCAAATTTGATCCCGTAACATCATTTACCGTAATTCCTCTATTTAGCTCCACTGATACTTACTTTCTGCAGCAATTCTGAACTGAGAGCTTATTAGGATAGTGCGAATAAATAGAGGCTAGAATTAAAAATAAATCATTACCCTTTTTATCCGTAAAAAAATACTTAGAAGACATTGTGGTAGTCCCAGGCTTATGATATACAATTTGCATATACAGAATTCCAAAATAAAACAGAAAAGCTCAAACAAAATAATTTAATGTAACCACCTTGGAAATTTTGACAACAAAACAAACACGCGCTTGAATTATTGCTTTTGATTAAACCTTAGGATTCGTATTTCGAAGTATACAGTGAGATTGATTTAATTAATAGTAGATGGCGGCTAAGTAAAGGGCGGGACTTATTACATTTTCCATCTATAACACTCATTGTGTTTCAGATACGGCGACAAAGCACCCAAGTCCATTATCGCACGCATTCTCTGTATTATCTGGATGTTGGCTGGTGCTATTTTACTCTCACTGTTCACTGCTAACACAACATCTATTATCACCGCAAGCAGAATTGCGAAGAATTCGCAGACTATGGGGAAAAAGGTAAAATTGAAGTTGTGACGAGATACATTAGTACATGATCTAAATACTTAGAAAACAGTCTGGTAGTTAGACTACTCACACCCCTTGTCTAACAGTCTGGTAGTTAGACTACTCACGCCCCTTGTCTAACAGTCTGGTAGTTAGACTACTCTCACTCCTTGTCTAACAGTCTGGTAGTGAGACTACTCACGCCCCTTGCCTAACAGTCTGGTAGTTAGACTACTCTCACCCCTTGTCTAACAGTCTGATAGTTAGACTACTCACGCCCCTTGTCTAACAGTCTGGTAGTTAGACTACTCTCACCCCTTGTCTAACAGTCTGATAGTGGTTAGACTACTCACGCCCCTTGCCTAACAGTCTGGTAGTTAGACTACACACGCCCCTTGTCTAACAGTCTGGTAGTTAGACTACTCACGCCCCTTTTGACACTGCGGTACACCAGGAATTTGTAGTAAACTTCGTCTCTGTTATTGACAAGCTTTCGTTGGTAGGGATGTAATTACTAAGATCCTGGGGACGAGGTGTTTCAACTACCTGAAAAATATAAGGAGAATTTCGACGTTTCCAGTCAAGCCCCTTCGTTTGGAGACTGGAGATACTAGAGGTGGTCGGGAAATATAAAACCCTTCTACCTTTTAAATGGGCCATTTAATTAATTAAACTACGAAAATAAAACAAATGCCAATGGTGGCGGGTAATTTTTAGTATCTAGCTGTCTGATTATAATTTCACCTCATGAAGTCACACGTGAATAGAGTGCTTGATCGATGCTTTAATCTTATTCAATACAATGCATCCATATATTTTTCAGTGTTACTTGACCTCTGTTCCATGTTGTGTTCGAATGGCTTTCTTTCATATTATTAGTGTATTTGTTCTCTTATTATGTTCTAATTTCGTTTTTTCTATTCAATCCTGTTCCGTTAGATTGGAGTTGTTAATATGAAACAATTTGTGCAGGCAGAATTGAATCTTGGAGCTCACATTATCGGTAAATCTACGAGCAGTTCATGCAGCAACAAGAGCGCTTAATTAAGCAAACAAGCAGAATTCAATCGAGCTGTTTTTGCTTGATGAGGAGTAATGGTGCCAGCAATTCTTGCTTGAAATGAACGAACGGCAGTCAATGACGTTTCACGTTTGTGATTTGAAACAAGAACAGCTGTCCCCGTCGCTCGCTAACTAAAATAACTTGTTTGACTTCTGCTTGACGTTCGTGTTGACAAAACCTCGCTTGCTTAAGTTCTCTATTATCAATTTAGCGATCGGGAATTAATTCCTGCAACACATTGTTTTTTCCGTCGCAAAATTGCGTATGTTTTAACTTTAGGAAACTCTGCAGCTTTTCTCTGCGTACTCCCCCAGGAGTAGCACTGGATATTCTGAGAGAACAATTCAGAATCGATAGAGCTATCCAGTATATATAGTTCAACCATTAATCGCCGAAGTTAAGGCTTACAAGCCTACCGATGACAGCGATTATGATTACAAGGCTGCCGATGACAGCGAGAATGATTACAAGCCTACCGATGACAGCAGAAATACGCCTTACCCGTACCCATAAGTATGAGTAACAAACTACACATGAACGCACTGTAATGAACAACTTCGCAAAATACGTATACATCCGCGTATATAAGAGGTGTTTGCGTATAACATGGGTTATAATGATATTATTTCATTGACGGAGATTATAAAAGACTAGAGTGGCAATACAAGAAAAATCGAGGGAGAAATTCGGGAATTGTAATGGAGAATTTTACTTCAAAGTTCCGGATGTTGGCTCCCACGCCAATTGGCTATATTGAGATATTCGTAGCAACACTTTCGTGACTACCTTAGCAACAAAAATCAATACGAACAAGTCTTTGCCGTTCGCCTAAAGCCATTCGTAAGGGTGTTAAATTTTTCGTCTTCATCCGTTCGTATTTTTTATTCAAAACGTCTAAAACGTTTTGAAGATCTGTTAAAACGAATTGACAAAACATTTACCATCCGTTCGTTAACCGTTTTCCCCGTTTTAATGCAAAATCGTTAATGTATACGTTTCCCCATGGAAGGTTACATTTTACTAAATTTGCGAGCTTTTCTTTGCAGTTTTTTCAAACTATTTTGACGACCAGAAAAAAATATTTCGCCTGTTGCTAAGGCGATGTTGCTAACGATATTACAATGTGGCCAATAGCGATACGTTTATCCATTCGGATTGCAAATACCCACTCAATTGTTTTATGATCTATATCTACTTTATTAATTTTGGGAGCAGAAGTTGTGTCCGTACAAGAGATGTGCCCGTCAAAAGGGGTACGACTGTAATGTACTTTCTGCAATTCGCGAAAAAACCCTTTTTGAAAATTATTAGGCCTATGTGAATTTTTTGGCTATAGCATCATGAATTCTCAAATTCGGGCAATCAGAATCATTATCAGAATCATCATGTTTAGAAACAGTTTAGAATTGATAGTACTTGTCCAGTTTTAATAAAGCTAGTGGAACCTTCATCTTTCAGAATACACCAAAGTTGAGGCTGCGCTAGAAGCTCTAAACGACAAGAGTATCGACCGACTGTTATTTCCTCACTACCTGGATTTACTTTTCTTCATGTCTGACCCAGATCTCGGAATCCCTGTGCTTTCTAATATCTATATTGCTAAGGAACTGGATAAATCATTTCAGA